AGTACTCGTCCAACTTGATCTGAACCTCAGAAACAAGATCGAAAATCATGATGCCACCGAGCGACCGTTGAATAATATCTGAGATGAGCATTACAATTTCCGAAGTCTCATTTTCGGTCAAGCCCTCTGGGCGTCGGACTTCGAAGATTGGTGCCTCATTGGGATAGTTTTTGGAATACCTGAAGTACAGGGAACAAGAAATTCCAGCTTCCGGTGCATGTCCTCTCAAGTGGATTTCAAAGGCGTAAGGTGGAGAGGAGGACTTGCGCTGAAAGTTCTCCTCGTATATTGACGCCAGCACTTCAATTTCGTTCTCCTGATCTTCTGCCGCGGTCGACATAGTTAGCCTACGAGGAAGAATGAAAGAGTAGGAAGTTTATACAGCGATGAAACCGTGCATGCCCAATGGAGGCAAGGACATATCACTTGTTTACTTCAAATGGTATTAAGCACAGCTGGTTCAGTCAGCTCGACAGTGGAAACTCACGACCTCGAAATAAATTGTTACTCAATAACCCCTTGAAAGGCCTTTGGGATCGTTCACAAGTGCTAACAGGGTGGGACCTTGTCAAACTAGGATATACAGTATCTAGAAACCCCAGAAAAATGGCGAATCGATAATAAAACAATTTGTACTGACTCACAAAAAGCGCCGGACTGCTAATGTCGGAAAATAAGTTTCATGTAAGCTTCCGATTCCAGCAGATTTTACAAGACTGTTCATAAACGAAATAGAGTGTACGACAACCCGTGGTGTGTAGAGCCCCATGTAATAAGGACACCTGACCAAAATAATCTCGTCCATTTTTGAGTGGAACGTTTTCCGGGTTCTATGTATTACTTGGATCAATTTGAGGCACCACGTTAGAAACGCAAATAATTTGAAGAGAGGATAAAATTAATGTTTTTAGACAACAGTAAGTTTACGAGCGAGGACAAAGTGAACAGTTCTTGATAGGAGGCAATTATACAGGTAAGACCTAATCAAAATAGCAAACAAGTAATTTGACAAAAATTACTGGAACTTGTTCGCAAGCGCACAATCACAATTTTGTCAATGCAAGCCAACGGCGTGAAAAGGCTTTAATTCAACAAGTTCGTCCGTGGAGTGAGCTTGGGTGCGCAACAATTGGCTTTGGCAAGGAAAGTCGAGTCGCTACAAGAAACTGACGACATTTAACAGCATACTACAAAGAGGCATAAAGTACCCATAACCCACATGGTCAGAATATGACTTTTAGCATGTCTGATTGAGCGCGTGACAATATAAAGTTAAATGACTCAAATTGACAGAGCAAACAAGACTTTTCGTCATAGGTTAGAAATGTTTGACAATAGGTTCCACGGCAACATATTCTCCGAATTCAGCTGAAGGTTACAGACAGAACTCTTGATGGACCTTGTGGTTTGGACGTAACAGGTTTGAGTTGTGGATTCTCAAAAATATGGCAGACTTGGTAGAAAAGTGATCATGCCTGAGCTGACCGATTTTAGTGATGTTACGGATGGTACCTAACCACACGTGACGGTGCGTGAGAGAGGGTCTGGACAACTTCTTTTTCTTCAACGACAGAGACCGAATACCAAAGGTCAAAGGATCACTACCGTTTTGACGAAGTAAACTGATCAGGTTTTAAACTGACCGTCTCCTTGACCTCTCCAAATGTGGTTGGCGTTTTATCGAAGGTAGCAACAGTCAGCTGGTGTGGTGGATTATGACGAACGTTCCTCAACTACCTGATTCGTATTTATTGAATAGCGTGGGATATCTTTGCAGTATTGTTGTACTGAGTTGGGACTATCTGATTCGAGAATTGGGTGTAATTCACTCGAAGAATGGTCTTCAAGCAGCGGTGGTAAAATAACTTAAGTTT